GTCTGAAATTCTGAAAGTACGCCCAGAGTGATTCTGGTATCATTCAGACTACAGCTGGATCGTGTGTGCGGTCGCCGTGACTCCTACAACCATGTGGTAAAGATTTCATGACATTCACACTTTTAACCAGCCTACACACAATATACAAGTTGGTGCATTAGGATATTAGGATTATTAGTCTTATTACCTGAAAAAGTTGTCCTTCATGTTTCTGATAACAGTTTTTGACTGATTTATAATTGTTTCTGTAACTAAATGGATAAAGCAGAGCATTAATAACACTGAGGTCATGGGTTTGATTCCCAGAGAACACACTGATTTTTTAAATGTATATTGAATGAAGTTGCTTTAGTTAAGTGTCTTCCAAATGCAAAAATGTAAAGCGTTTGAGTCAATTAACATTCTTAGCTCATCTGATATCCCACTCCTTAGGCCTTGCTGCATCATGCGTCAAAGGGTGGACTGCAAAAAGCCAAATGGAAACTATTTTCTCTAAGTTTGGGGTAAATGTAATTTGTTGTGAAAAAGCACACTCGCGTGATCATATGAAAATGGGTGGCTGTTTGATGTCAGGGTCCTCTGAGGAACTTTGGCACAGTCAGGAAGTAACCCATCTTGTGAAAATCTACAGTACATTATCGATTCAATACACAAAGGAAACCGTACGTTAAACAGAACAGCCTGTGTAATACATACGCAAATCTGCACGTGATTCAGAATGCTGGCATATGTGCTATTTGGCCAGACACTAGTGTTTAGGTCGCTCAAAAAGATAGAAAGAAAGAAAGCATCTTTTGTATTAGATACCATTCACAGAGCTATACAAGCGTTAAAGCGATAGTTCACTCAAAAAGGAAAATTCTGCCATCATTTAAGGCCTATTCACACAAAGAATGAAAATAATGATAAACGTAACTATAAAATGTTAATAATTTGAATATGAGACCAAAGCATCCATAACTAATGATAACTGAGAACAACAGAACAATATAGTTGGAATCACATTCAGACAAAAAAATATATATATATAAAAAAATATCTGATGAACAATAAAACATTGACAGCCAATCAGAATTGGTGGACCTAATTATGCTTAAGGCCTGTTAACAACAAGAATAACTATAAAAATAACTACAACAATAAATATATTCGTGTCCACACCAACATAAGAACTACTGTATATTCTAACGTTCCTTGAAGTCGGGTAGATTCTGATTGTCAATGTTTTTATTGTTTGTCAAATGAAAAAAAAAAGATTTTGAAAGTGATTTTAACAATGTTGTTATGCTCATAGTCATTATCATTGTGGTTTTTCACTTCCCTATTCTTAAAAAATTGGATCAATCGTCAGAAACTTAATCATAGTTATTGTCCTTGGCATGAACAGGCTTTTAAGAAAATCTGAACAGGCCTCATTTTGTTCCAAAGCTGTAACTTTCATCATGTGAGGTAAGTATCATGATTTAGTCACATTGAGCGGTATAAAGTCGCAATTACCTTTTGTTTATATTTAAGGCAGTGTTCATACATTACGTATTGCTGCATTAAAACAACGTTGATCAATCTCTTTCAGGCGAGGCAAGTCTTGGCACAAGCTTCCTGCAGAGGCAGGTTTCAATCCATGGGTACCATTAAGATAAATTCATCGCTGCTGCGAGTTGGCAGATGAACTCTAAATTTGCAGTCAAGTCTCATACACCACTCGAGATATCATCTTACCTCCCTGCAGAGAGGAGAGAGTCGGGATCTGGAATCCCAGCCCTGTCAATCTTCTCTGACTGACTGACCTGGCTGAAAACAACGGATAGTTTTCCTTCTCTCAATGCTGTTTTTTCCAGCACTTCCTCTTCGATTTTCATCACACAACATTGTTTTGTCTCGTCTTAGCTTGTATGTGTGCTTATTTATTCAAACGTGCAGTGAGTTGTATGATTTTGAAAGAGCTGATCACATCTTCAGAGTTGTCAAATGTTTTTTCAGACCTTATTCCCTCTAACAAGTCAAAACAGATTTAAGTAAGGACCATGGATCATATTTGTAAAAACTTGTCTTGATTAATGCCTTTAGTTTTACCATCTACGATGTTCCAAATCCAAATTATTTTTTCCCCCTGTGGAACACAAAAGATGAATTCTTGTCAAATATTTTGCCCCCAGTTTTCAGTATAATGTAAGTGATGGAGGATGTCAAGTTTAAAAACATTTCCTTAACATTTATGCAAAAAAAAAAAAAAAAGTTTTTATAGTGGGAAACGGTTCTCTAGATTATTATATTAAAATGGTCTTTATACTAAATGGTTCTTATAAGAAATGTGCACTAAAGTGTTCTTAGGAGAACTGAAAAAATGGTTCTTCTACAGCATCACAGTGAAACCTCCGTTTTGAAACTTAAGAGTTAGGGTTATTTTTAAGAGAGTTTGCCATTTATGTGCTATACCATATATTGCTGTATACATCTTCTGAAGCCATATGCCATTTAGCCAGACAGGATGCCAGTTGAAGTAAATATTGTTCTTATTGCGTCCTAAGTACATGCTTTATATGAGCACTAAAGTGTCAGTAATGGTGTACTTACTGAATTAAAAATATATATGGAAAATGGGGGGTTGGTGAACCCTGTCTGACATTACTCAACCAACGTCATGGGGTGCATCCTGGGATGCTTTTTTAACAAAACAGTGAATGGATTTCTCAAACCAATCCTGTCTGACATTAAGTTTGAACTTTGAGATGTCACTAGGTGGATATTATAGAGGAAAGCTAAACAGTTGTATTGAACATAATCTCATGAGTGTATTTATTCTATGCCAGGTTTAATGTCAGGTTAACCAAACAGAGATGAGTTCAGAGGTCAAAGTTTATTTTAGGGTTAGTATGGTCAGGGTTTCTAAGACAAAGGATGACTGGTTAAACTATCACTAAGTCTAATTTGAGGCTTGAATTTGAGGTTCTCTTGTTTAAACAAATTGCAATATGTTCAAAAAAGTATGGTTAGGCCACAGAAGAACGTTTGAGATGGAGTTGTGACAGCTAATACATTTCAGTTCACCCTCATACACTTCAGTTTCCACAGCTTCACATCGCCATCTGCTGGTTGCATGAAGTGTGGCGTTTTGGAAGCCGTCCAGAAGACACTCAAAATGAATGATCCTAGATCAGTTTTTGTCCGTTTTGAACATTCTGTACCATCCAGCTAATATATTACCTTTGGCAACAAGAAAAAAGGCAGCTGAAAGATTATCTGAAAAGATAATGACTAATATTTCTTTTGTCAATGTCAATCCTACAAGTCAGCTCAAGGAACCATCCTGTAAATGAGTGAAAATGGGATTTCTTAGATAATTACATGAATTAATATATTACTCTCTCTGGGGTCTCTAAGATGTAAGTGCTCAGTTATCGTAACACCTGCTTTAAGATTATCTTGTTTGTAAATTCATGTTTTAAATGCAGCTAATCTTTCATATTTTTTATATATTTCACATCATAAGCAGAATCCTTCAGCCCATCAGCCTGATTCCAGGTTTTGCCATTAGAGGTGAAATGAGAGCCACCATACCAAAACCTCAGAGATCTCAACAATCTGATGAAGAGGAGAGCAGATGAGCAATACAGGAAAAGACAGATGGTAGCTTGGTGTGTCTAGCACATCTTTACTTTTCATCTAACATGTTACATCACATGTGGAGGTCTGCCTAGTCATGCTAATATAAAAGTCAGATTTGATATCCATTTAAGGAACAAAATTTTACAAGCCTGAATTGTTTGTATGTCAAATGTCAGTTTGAATGCTTACGTGCTGCAAAAGAAATATGAACTGGCACAGCAACTCGGCCTCCCTCACAGATATTACATAATCACCTGCAAATATCATATGTGGCTATAACATATAACACAACACAACACCCTGTTCATTAATTAAGTTGTAAGATAGACTGGCAGAAGGAAATTTTTTATCAAATCAGTGCAGCTTTGGTGAGCATAAGAGACTTCATTCAAAAACATTCAAAAATCATACAGAGCCCAAACGTTTGCATGGTAGTGTATATTTGAATCTTTTCACAAATTAATGCTGTAAAGTAAATGAAATCTCGTATAAGTCAGTCAAATGTAATTCCAATATTTTGTTTTAAACTAGTGCAGTGAAAAATTCATTTTTGTTTCCTGTCTGCCATTTTCATTCCAAAAACTATGGAAGTATGTTTATCTTTAGACTTTTTTTGGTTAGACTATTTTTACGCGTATTAAAATAGTAGCTATGATTGTAGTCTAATAGTGACTCTTGAAAGAGTAACTATTATTATTATTTTTATTGAAAGACTTGCGCAACCCAAATAAGAGTGGAACTGGATGGTGAATTTTTGTGGCTGTCTGAATATGAGTCTTAATGTCGGCTATTTTATTCAGTTTTCGCCATCAGTTCAACAGCTTTTTATTTGAATTGTGGTCAGATTTGTCTTCCATGAGACATTCTTCAAGATATGGCATTGCCTTTTATTAGCTTAACTTCAGAAATTATTTTAGAACAGAGAAGAGTTTATAAAAAAAACAATGGCAGTGTGCTGCGTCTATACGTTCAAATCCATTTCAGTAGTTCATAAATATTCCTGCATTCATATTATCAGTCTACCAATCTACTTATCTATCAGTAGATCCTTCCTAGATGTAGTTTAATGACAATATTCACTGTATTTTAATCCATTATAAGTGGTTTGGCTGAACTTCACTATCTTAACTGTACGGTAAGAAAACATCAGTGAAGGATAATTCATAACTGAAATTTGCCTTTGCTTTCACATGGGATCTGTATGATGTCAACCTCAAACCTCTAAGTGCTTATATCACAGTAATTATATGTCACATTACTATGTGGTTTCATGGAGCATTTCATGACCTAATGATCACATCGGCACTATGATAGTCATCACCTTTGATAACACCTTTGAACTTCATGAGGTCACCTTTGAAGGTCATGAGATGCTAAGGGATGCTACCATTAACAAACATCAATTCTAAAAAGATTCTCACTGAAGATTAAAGCACCATTACAATGAAATTATTAATAATTATTAAGGCCCTTTATTTGTGATGTTCTATCTTTTCTGTTCTGCATCAAAAAGGCCAATACTTAAAATTCACAGTGAAACCTACTTAATGTATGTTTCTGATTATCTTAAAGACCTTTTTTAACTAAAGCCATGTGCATTTCTATTTATTAATATAAAACAGTGGTTGTCAACCGGAGGGCCAGGGCCCACTAGGGGCCTTAGCAAACCTCCAGAGGGGTTGCAGGTTGACTTCAAAGTATTTTAAGTGATATATTATCACCATCACTATATATATATAATCCATTCACTGTTTTGTTAAAAATGCACCCCATGGCGTTGGTTGAGAAATTTCTAAGAGCGTGCAATTTTAGTTGATGTTTCATGGAGAAACCAGTGAAATGTTTTTTCCAAAGCCGAGCAGTTCCATTAATGCTCCATCAGATGTCGCTAAACCCTCATTCCTCTGGTGCTTCACCCATCCCAGCATTTCAAGTTTGTATTTATTTGAATGGTCCTTCCTCCCTTCTGAAATCTACTCAAATTCCCGTTTCTTCCTGGTTGTGCATGGAAGCGCTCTCGGATATATAACGTGCTTTAGGATGCATAGACAACTTTACACAATGTTATGGTGGGTGCTTGCGAAATACGCGAGGTTTGACAGCGTTGTACAAGTTATAGATTTTGTACGTGCCAAGTCCTTGTTTGCTAGCAGGTGATTAGCCTGACTTGTTTGTTTAGCAACTAGCTATCTGGTGTGTTTTCATCGCCTGCTTTGATATGCACATGCCAGTGTGAGTGTAGACTAATCTCTAGACTTGTCTTTTGCAATTTAGTCAAAGATTATTGACTGTTTGTCAACGTGTAGTTGACTTAATTAGCTCGCCAGTGCTAACAGATCCTAAACCTAAACAGCAGCGACACATCATTGGAGGCCTCAAGCTCCGTCTGACAGATGTCTAGATATTTACCAGGCATATTAGATTGTTAATCTGACATTTATTAATTAGGTTTGAATCAAACGATTCATAGATTCATCCTCTGACTCAGCGTAACGTGCTACGTGGTAAGACGTCCATTGGTAATGAATTATGCGATATTCTTTACACTGGCATAATATGAATGTCATGACTTGTACATAGCATATATAGTATTGTCTAGATAGGTTTTTGAAACATTCCTTATGAACTGCTCTTATTCTAGCAAACACATAACGTTCTCTTAACGTTAGCATATGGTTTCCGTTTGGTTATTTTTTGGAACCAAGTGTCTTTTTTTGGTAAAACCCAAAGAAGAAAACCTAAAACGTTTTTTAATGGTTATTTTAGTTATTTGGTTATGTTATAACCAAAACTGCTGTTCACTGAACGTTCTGGAAAGCAAAAAAATTGATATAGGCCTAGTCAAAATCTGCTACTGTGTCAGACTGTCTAACAATAGAAAAAGCTTTACATTTAAATATTCCATGAAGATCAATTGACGAATTTGATTATATGATTCGTATCTCTAAAGGAGAAGCTACACACAGCTACTACAATGGAGGCTTTGAACAAACAAACCGCAGCTATTTGCTTTAACAACATCATGCATCCTGTGCCGGCTAATGTGTTTTTTGCCATTGTATTTTAGAGTCCCTTATTATGGCCACTGGAAGTCATGTTGGAAGTAATGCAGAAATCCACCGGCTCAAGCAGGCCCAGACCCATGATCTTCTCAAACGTATGGTTTGTTCTGGAGATGAGAAGAACATGAGGGAGGTGAGTAAAAATGGCAAAAAAAAAAGGACAAATTGTTTGTAATGTTTGTGCTGGGTGGGATTAATAGAGGCTCATTTTCAGTTTACAAATACAATATTAAGTATTTTAAAGGGGTCATATGATGTTGCTAAAAAGAACATTATTTGGTGTAATGCAATGTGTTTACGCGGTTTAAGGTTATAAAACACATTATTTTCCACATACCGTACATTATTATTGTTCCTCTATGCCCCACCTTTCTGAAACGCATCAATTTTTACAAAGACTTTAGTCTTTGCAACTTTATGGATCTTTTACATGAACAAACAGCTTGTAACACAACAACAGGGTGTCCGCGGGTCCTTAAAATGTCTTAACGTTTTCCTAATATAAGGCCTTAAAATGTCCTAAATTCGGATTCGATGGGTCTTAATTATTTTTGGTCTCATTACCGCTAAAATATCTTCAGTCTGACGGACCTAATGACTTTACAATCATTGGACAGACCCGCGGTAAGTTACTGCGTCATCAGAGAGAACTGCAGTAAGCTCGCAAAATACAGAATACAAGCTCGCGCTGAGGCTCACTCTGTTTGTCTCGAGACTTCAGAACAAATGAGCGTGACAGCACACATAAACTCAGAAGAAACACACTGAGGTAAAAATTCTAAATGTTTAGTTTATTCATAACATGGTATAGTTAAATAACACCATGACAAGTGAGCTATTTTGCTCAATATTCTCACGACGCAAAAAAAACAAACATTCAAAACACCTACAGTGCACGCATTACGTGAAGTCTAGTGCGCTCTGCCTGATCACTGCATGATTCAGTCTAATACATTCAGAATGATTACAAATTCAAGACATGGGGGCAGAAAATGTGTATATTTATACTCAAGGTCACGTGTAAGAGTGCCTTTTTTTTTTCCTCCAAAAATTTCCATATACAAATGTGATAATGTTTTTTTTACAACAGTTCAATAAACTAGAAGTTTTATTAAGAGACTTACGTTTTGGACACCATATTGGCTGTTTTCGCCAACAGAAATAATTCCAAACAAAGCCACAGCGCTGTTTTGTGTCTCTGAGCAACATGACGGTGTTTCGTTCCCGAATGAATCAACCGTTTAAATGATTCGGTTCAGTCCGGTTCAGTCGCAATGACTGACTTAACAGTGACTTACTGCCACCTACTGGCGGTTTTAATTTCATTTTTTAAATTATTTCAAATATCAGTATTCAATGTTTTATATATCAAAACATTATTTATGCGTATTACATGTATGTATGTAATAAAATGTGTATTTCTAATACAGGTTTAGGTCTTAAATTTCATATAAGGTGTTATTAAAAATGTCTTAAATTTAACTTGTTCAAGTCTGCAGAAACCCTGCAACAAGGACAAAAGAAAACTTGAAATCGCATATGACCCCTTTAATGCTGGAATACACTACACAATTTTTGCCCAGATTTTGCCCCACTATTGCAGTCTGAACGTGTCAACACCGAAACCACATAGTATATGATGGACGTATTAGTGTGTGATGATGGACAGTTTTTCTGTTACCATTTACAAAGTGGGCAAGTGTATGTTGTCTAGTGTTTTAAAATCTGACAGATTTGAAATGTTAGCTTTTTACTGTTGTCTTTTTTCAGGTGGATTATTCACTTAAGGACGAAACCGATCAAGAGAGGTATGTTTTTGGTCCATAGCAATGCTAACTTAATGGCCTTTCATATTATTACTTGTTTTGACAAGCTGAGCGTGCATTATTCTCCATCCCACAGATTTCCAGTGGGCCGTTGTGTGCACAAATACAGCAAAGCGAAGCGAGCGGTGGTTAGCAAGAAGAAAACGCGTCACTCTGGGGTGGGATCAAGAGCATGTCGGAGATCGCCCACCGCAAGCAGGACATCTGACATGGCAAACAAAGAAAATGAACTGACCTGTGCTGATGACGTGCAGGCTATTCTTTACAGTGACAACTGTGGGTTCGCTGTGAACTCAACAGACGCCTCAAAAATGGCAGGAGCTGGCTCCAAATACAGTGATTATCTCACTGAGGTGAGATATGCTGCACGCTAGTGCTTGTAGGGTTGCAAAAAGGTGGAAAATTTCCAGTAAATTTCGGAAATATTCCAGAAATTTTGGAAACTTACAGGATTTTTTTGGAATGTTCCAGGGATTTTTGGAAAGTTTCCGGAAATTTTCCACCCCTTTGCAACCCTAAGTGCTTATGTTGACTATGTTCTTGTCGTTCGAAGCTGAAACTTTCCTGTTTATTCTTATTCATTATTGTCCACATGTGATGATGATATAGTGATCAACCCCTCTATTTCTGCAATATCAATCAAGACAAAATGGTGATCTATCATCAAATTGTAATATTTGCACTAACCTAATCATTTGTTGAATTTCAGTTATCAGAGGACCATGAAGCAATGACTCATGTGCTCTTTGGAAGAAATCTGAGACTGAATGTTGCGTTGACTCTTTGGCGGAAAAACGCAAGTGAACTAGTGGCATACTTGAACAGGTTAGCGTTTTGAAGTTTGACATTAATATTTCACAATATTACTGTTTTTGTGGTATTTTGATCAAATAAATGAAGCAATGGGTGAGCATAAGGGACTTCTTTCAAAAACATTAAAATAAATCTTAGATAAAAATTTTGAACAGTAGTGTAAATATTGCAAGTATAAATATATTTGTTTACAGCATGTTGAATTCCCATTTTTCTCACATTTTTTGGCATAATTGATGCTTGCAATTCTACATTTTATGAATATCATGTTAACCAAATTTTTCCCCAGAATACAAGACACAGGGGTGCTTGTTGACTGTTTGCCTGTACTCATAAAAAGGTAGCATATTTAAGACCTGTTTAAAATTCAAAGTTTGTCATTGTTGTCAATTGTAGATTTGATGGATATGTTGTTTCATACCAGTTTCTCCCTCTATAGTCTTCAGGAAGAACAGCCGTGTATTTCAATAGGTTGTTGTGTTGACCTTTTACCACAAGTGAAAATGATTCTTAACACTAAATATGAAGAGTAAGTATTTAGTCCTGTATTTTTATTTGCTATCGTTGTTTATTGTCATTATACATTTTGCTCAAGTTTAAATTAATCTTTTAAATGGTTGAATCTTTTCCAGACACCTCATCATAGCTTTACACTGGGTTCAATCTATCATTAAAAAATGGTGGTCTGAGCTCTCCACAAACAACAAAAGCTTGCACGATGGCTTTTCAAATGATAGGTGCTTCATTTTTATATGAATACATGGAAATTAAGTGACAGAACATCTTATAAATGTTAGCTGGAAGCTGTAACTGAATATGTTTGCATCCAGCAGGAATGTTCAGGCAATGAAGATGACGCTTCTTGAACTGTGGGAGGGGAAGAGACACTTAAGCTCAGTTCCAGGAACTGTAGGAGAAACGGCGAAGGTGTTTTATTTTTCCTAGTCAAGTGAAAAATTGCAATTGTTCACAAAAATCAGTCTTACCTTATTTTCTTAATCATCCTCTTTTCCGCAGATTATAGAATCGTATATGTCACAACTGCGCTGATATATCATTGTAGCACACTATGGAGATAACCACTACAAACCCTTGGTGCATTTTAAGCTTTTGATTGGTTTGGAGCTGGTGAATCTGAAGCTCAGTAAGCTGTGGTGAATTGGGAATACATGAACTGAACAATTCAGACACTCTGATTTCAGCACTGGAGGAGGAACTCTTCCTGCAGGCACTGAATGACTGCTTCACATTGAAGTGGACTTGCTTAGGGGCACATAATCAACTCCATGAGACTCTCTGGAATCCGGCAACTCGCTGAAGTGCCAAGCAGAAGTTTTAACTGTTGCACTTGTAGTGCTATGGTGTGAATCTGCTTAAGTGGATGTGATTGTGTAAGTGTACCTTTATCAGATTTTTTTTTTTCAGACATGCACTTGAATTGCAAGAGTTTTAAGTTATGAGTGTGTTGTCCATTGCCTGATCATGAATGGATATTTGAGTGTAATGTGTACATAGTGATTTTTCTTTTAATCAGCTTTCAAATAAATCTACATAAACTAAATGTTTTTTTGAAGTTTATATGAATATTTACATTGTATTCACATGTTCACTAAGATAAAAAAAATTACCATAACAATAATGTGCTTGCACAACCCTAGTCAAAAGTGATATGACGTCAGAAAAGTTGCTGAATGATTAAGACAAAAAAACAAGCTGTGCTAAATTTGCAGACATGCACTTGAATTGCAAGAGTTTTAAGTTATGAGTGTGTTGTTGTCCATTGCCTGATCATGAATGGATATTTGAGTGTAATGTGTACATAGTGATTTTTCTTTTAATCAGCTTTCAAATAAATCTACATAAACTAAATGTTTTTTTGAAGTTTATATGAATATTTACATTGTATTCACATGTTCACTAAGATAAAAAAATTACCATAACAATAATGTGCTTGCACAACCCTAGTCAAAAGTGATATGACGTCAGAAAAGTTGCTGAATGATTAAGACAAAAAAACAAGCTGTGCTAAATTTGCAGACAATGTTCATTGTACTGTTCAGCAGAGATGCAACCATAATTCACAAAACCAGTCTGAACGATTCGTCAACTCGTTTGACTCCTAATAAGCTGAGAATGGATCATTGAGTTGACATAAAGGCATATGTAGTGAAACCATAAGACTATAAAAACTGAGTGAAACCAAGCATTGAACGGTGGGGACGCAGTTCAACATAAATATACTGGAATTTTTAAAATCTCAATTAGTAATGAGTTTAAGTATTTATTTATCTATGTACACACTAAATTGGTTTTAATTTTATCTCACATTAAGGTTTCATAAGAATCAGCTAGTGCAGTGGTTCCCAACCCTGGTCCTGGAGGCACCCCAACACTGCACATGTTGCATGTCTCCTTTCTCTGACACACCAATTTCAGATCTTGGAGTCTCTACTAATGAGCTGATGACCTGAATCAGGTGTGTTTGATTAAGGAGACATGCAAAACGTACAGTGTTGGGGTGCCTCCAGGACCAGGGTTGGGAACCACTTAGCTAGTGCAACAAACTGAACCGGGAGACGAGAAGATACAAAATAAACACAACGCAATAAACAGCAGTATGTGCCTATGGATTTTCTTAAACGAATTGGAGTATGCATGCTGCTCCGCAGTGATTTATTTTAATTGTATTATTATTATTATTATTTACTGCACCGCAGTGATGTAAAGGATATTTGAAGCCATTCATTCAACACGAACTGTTTAAAAGAACCAATTCGAAACCCCCACCCATAGAAATAGACCCGCCTCAAGGATAATCACGTGGTGTACCAGATGCTCTTCCGGTCTCTGCGTTCTGAGTTCCGTTTACTTCCTTCAGCTGAGTCCTATTCTCGTGGTCCAGGTTGACGCATAGTGAAATATTGTACATTTTAAACGTCATATATACATGATGCAACAAATGAAACGTCTGTTAGATATATATGTGGCGCTGCAGGCTCTGTTTGCGTTGTCATGGTGTTTCTCCGACGCAGAGCCAGGGCCTGTAGCAGGTTCTCAGTCAAATGGAGACCGTTTCAAAATCGAAGGACGAGCGATCGTTCCCGGAGTGAAAACACAAGACTGGATCTCCACAGCCCGAATCCTGGTGGAAGGAGAGGAATATGTTGGTTTTCTCAAGTGAGTTATATATCACCAGCAATGCTAACGTCAAAAAAGCGATGTAAATATTCATTTGTGTGTGTCAGTCCTTGATTTACTGTAGCGTGTCCCAATACATGATATCATCTCTCTTGCAATGAAGCTTTCTCTTATATAAATACGTTTTCTAATGTATTTGTGAAAAATGTCTAGTAATATCATTGCAGGGCATTGTTATTCAGATTAGACGGGTTTAATAACAAGCCATTAAACGTTTTGCCAAGGTTCCACAATTAACCACATACATTTCCATTGCAGGACTGATGGGAGCTTTGCTGTCAACGATGTGCCTTCTGGCTCATATGTGGTTGAAATCGTATCACCATCTTTCAGATTTGATCCTGTTCGTGTGGATATTACCTCCAAAGGGAAAATGAGGTAGCAAACATTCCCATTTCTTACCTTCTTCTAATATGTGATTTCATGAGCACCTAAGTTAATGTTAGAATGCTACTGAACCCTAGGGCACGCTTGGTGAATTACATCAAAACCTCTGAAGTTATTCGACAGCCGTACCCTCTTCAGATCAGATCCAGTGGTCCTCACACCTACTTCATGAAGCGAGAAACCTGGGGCTGGACTGATTTTCTGATGAACCCAATGGTATGATCATATAATTGTTTCTTTCAGATGCACATGGATTGACTTCATTCACTGGAAATTAATCAGTTATTGTTTATTTTATGTTTACTTATTCTCTAACTAGATTTTTTATGTCCTCTAGTTTAGATTGACTTAAGTATTAAGGCACATTTTCGGAGCCATTTATAATAATAATTTAGCTATGACATAAGTGTTGTTGAAGGTTTCTAATAGCTGTTGTGACTTATTTTGTCGTCCTTAGGTCATGATGATGGTTCTTCCCTTATTAATCATCGTCCTGCTCCCAAAGGTGGTAAATACGAATGATCCTGAGATGAGAAAGGTAACAAGAAGTCGTATATACAAGTGTTACATCCTGAACAGACATTCTCATCCACTGCATATTGCTTTATTTATACAATTTAATGTCTGTTTTTTTCCTGCAGGAAATGGAGCAATCTATGAATATGTTGAACCCTAACCCAGAATTGCCAGATGTTTCTGAATTCATGACTAAACTGTTCTCCAAGGGCTCCAGTAAATCTAGCGGAGGCAACAAAGGCAGCAGAAGTGTTGCTCCGAAGAGGAGGTAGTGCTGTGTATTTTGTCGGTTTACTTTAACACTGTTTTACTGGGTTTCCTCTTTTATATATATATATATGAACAGTTTCTTTTTCAACTGAAATGCTTGACGAAGCAAGACTGTGTTTGCACTGTACTACTTTTCCATGCTTAAGTGTATTCTTTGGATGCATTGTTAATAATCAGATCATTTTAGTCATTGTAATGATACTCTGAAAACTATACATAAAATCTAGTAATGGATAAAACCAGTAGGGATCAAGCGAGGCATGTTTATGTATTTTTTTGTTTTAGAGCTTAATTAGGATGTTTTAACTTTACAAGTAGAATGAGTGAGAAAGTCTGGTCAAGATTTCTCTTCCAAGAGAAGACCGTTACGAAGATATTCAGTTTTGCTAAAACATTTCAATATCATGTAATGCAATTAACATAATGATGCTAGTCTATGCCTTTACTGCTGCTGCGCAAAAGATCACACGGATATGATTCCTTCACAGAATTGAGGTCAATGCAGTTTCACCTCAGTTATGACTTGAATAAAAGTGAGAATTAAATCTTTAGTAAGTAAAATTGAGCATGTTGTTGATTGGCTGTTGAGTTCTTTGGGTTGATGCAATAGCTGCATTACGGCTGCATAACAAGCCAAAATCAGATGCAGAAGTTAGTACTTACTGTATGTATGTAGTTGTTTTGCTCCGTTTGTCTCAAGCTTTCTAGCCTGGGATATTTCAAAAGCACACTTGAGCTTAAGGGTGAAGATAGATACAAAATATATGAGGGTCCATCTTTGCAGTGATACCATGTGTTTCCGGACCAGCCCAAGGAGGTGATGTTGACCCCAATTCTGTTTCATAACTACTTGAAATAAAGCTTTTAGGTTATATTTACTATATCTTGTTGGGTTTGTACAAGACTGTGAATGAAGATGAGAAATGCATAAGATTTAAGCTATGAAGTATAATCTTATTTAAACTGAATGGAAATAAACTGGTGGAAAATATCCGTCTCAATTATTTGTCTACTGTTCTCAGCATGATGCTTGCATGCTAAAATGTATGGACATCAACATTTAAGACTAACATTTCATAAGTAACTGGTAAATGGCTGCTAGTATGTCAGTGGGTAGTTTTAAATCTTCAGTTTGACTGAAGACATTAATAAAAGATGGAACCCCTGCCAAATCCAGATTGATGTTTCAATTAGTTGAGTTAATTTCATTTTAAAACATTTATTTCACATCAAATTAAATGGCATGTCATCACAACAGAAAGAGTAGAGACTCATTAAACAATATGAATGGAAAACAGCCAGGCAACATTTATAAATGTGTTTATATGATGTGTTAATGTTGAAGTAATTTCAGATCTAATTCTTGGCACAACAATTATGAAAGATTTTTTTTCTATTATGGACCAGTGCACACTGGGATGCTGTAGAACTGTAAAATGTGATCGAATCTCTGCCATAAATGAATTTTACATCCAGAGGGAAGCTACAATCTTTTTGTGTGTATTTCTCTACAGTGATGCTTTGGCAGTTCTGCAAACATAATACAACAACATTGCTTTGCACACCAGATATTTCAATAAACGTTTCTATGCATGCAGGATCACTGACATGACCACGGCTTACAATATATGAAAATAATTTTATCACAAAAAAGTTAATCATGTAATAAACACTGTGTGTGTTAGGTATTTATAATAAGTTCACAATCCATATCTTTATTTTAATGTCCTCACCATCCCTAGCCTTAAGGCATTTTACAATATTACAATACACTATTGTGTAAACATGTTAAGTGATCTATAAACTTTGAAAACAGAAGCTAAATTAAATACCATTAATAAATTATATAATTTTTTTCAAATCAATATGGCAATATAAACAATATGTACACAAAATATTGCCTAGAACATGGCAAAGAATATGGTCTGTGGCACTGTATGCACATCATAAGCTAAAATGTCATTTTAACGCCCATTTAATATAACAATTGTTGTTGATCATTCATTATGATCTACAGTCTGCTGTCTCTGCTGTTACTTAATGGTTTTGGCCACACCAATACAGTTTCTCCTCTCCTCTGTTCTTCTTCCACTTGCAGAGGACTAACATCCAAAAGGTCTTCTGGAAGGTCTTGTTGCATAAGGCATAACACATAGGGTTGATGGTGCTGTTGACATAGCAGAGCCAGTAGCCCAGATGCCAGAGGGACACTGGGATGCATTCAGAACAGAAGGTGGAGATAAGCACCATGATGTTGTATGGGGTCCAGGTGAGGAGGAATGCCAGAAGAATGGCACTGAGAGTCTGAGCAGCCTTTTTCTCCTTGATAAGGACCATTCGTTTCCGCTTGGTCATCTGGATCTTCAAGTTTGGATCTTCTGGTTTGGTAGAAGAGGATGTGGATGAAGGAGCCTGTGGCTCTGAGGACTGACAATGATCTGTGTTTATTCCATCGGCTTCGGTACTACCTTGCAAAGCAGTGATGTCGCTAAGGATCGGCTTGAACTTGTATGACATACATTTTTTATTGTTTGTCTGGGAGCATTTTGCAAGATCACTTAGGTATTTGCTGTCTTCATGACAGACCAGCTGTCCATTTTTATTGACTGTCGATTCTTGGTTCTTGAATGATTCGTGTGGAGTTGTTTCAGAGACGGACCGCTCGTCATCCTCTGATGATGTGTAACTGTTCAGGGTGGTGACCTGCTCTGATTTTGTCCACAAGTCTTCAGACTGCAATGTTGTCCTAGTTAAGTAACTCTGGTTGGATGAAGACCATGATGCTTGAGTCCCGTCCCTCTTGCTTTTAAAGCTAAAGCATCGTAGTATTGGCTTTCGTACTTTAGGGTCTTCATGGCTGTCCAGCGATGGGTATCCTTGGAGTTCTGCTAAGTTCTTAGTACGTTTTTCTGTTTCTTTGTAGATTTTGCAATATAAGATTGTCATGATGGATACCGGTACATAAAAGGCCGCTATGGCTGTACCAAATGTGATTATGGGTTCTGAGAAAAACTGGATCTGGCATTGGTCAGGAGGAACCGTTCTCTCTCCAACAAAGTACTGCCAGCACAGAATGGGTGGAGCCCATAATATAAACGATATCAACCACGCCAAGCCAATCATGATGCCTGCACGTTTCGGGGTCCGTTTAGCCCTGTAGGTAAGCGGTCTTGTAATAGAAAAATATCTGTCAAAGCTGATGACCAGTAAGTTCATCACCGATGCGTTACTTGCAACATAGTCAAGTGCCAACCACAGATCACATGCTATATTTCCTAAAGACCAGTATCCCATGAGAATGTAAGATGTGTATAGGTTCATTGAGAACACGCCGATAATGAGGTCTGCAAAAGCTAAACTGAGTAAGTAGTAGTTGTTAACAGTCTTAAGTTGGCTGTTGACCTTGAAAGAGAGCATCACCAGTACATTCCCCACTATTGTGATGAGACTCACGACTGCTGATACTGTTGCAATGGTTATGACTTCCAACAGACTGTATGGGGCAGGCAGGATAGCAGAGACATTTCCACTTGCGGTTAAATTTTGAATATCCATGTTCATCCTGTTACCGTTGATGATCGGTTAGAAAACTGATGAAATTTTCTTGAATTAATGAAAATGAATATTCTTCATGTTTTCCTGGCAATGGATAGTCTGAAAACACAATAAAGAGAATGAACACTTGAACAAAAACAGGAACATTTGAACAGAAATTGCAGAAAAATGCATGTTTTGTGTTTGATGCCTATAAACTAATGATTTTCATGCGGGCCAAATATTTTATGGGATAACAATAGCCTACTAGGCAAATCCATTGTTTTTCATACACTGGTCAATTTTGGGCTATTCAGGACTATTATATTGTTTCCATAACAAGAACACATTCAAAATACATATATGCAGAAATATATGCAGATTAGTCCATAGGCCTATATAATTAGATAGCTCCTCATTTGCATATTTAAACATAAACATGAAAAAAAAGTACTGTGATTGATCAACTAGGGAAGTACGGTGATATCTATTGATATCAGCTTTTTACTTATTGATTTTTGCAATATGTCAATATGTCAGTCAAAGTGTTCATCCTTGAAAATACAATAACTACCTCTTACATTCTCTTAAGCAAAGGAATAAGCACCGAGCCAGATCTCACATTACCCACACACCGCTGCTTCTACTGCTTTTAATACTACTCATACTCATACTGTTTTCCCTCAGTTTGACCAGCTTAAACTTTGGATTTGATGCACATTTGATAAACTAAGGCGGAACTAGTTGAACGGGCGGAACGTTTCCCCATTGAAAAGGGTTCTCTTTTAAGTGTAACAACGGTTGTGGTGTTACACGATTACAGTCTCGGCATTAGTTCTCATTTTTTTCATGTTCAGTTATGGAAGGCAGACACAGTCGGGGACGCGGTGGGTATTGGAAAAGAGGAAGTGGAGGTGGAGGTGATGCTGAGGCCGGCAGTTCGGGAGAGCACCGGGGTCGCGGAAGAGGAGACCACCACCATCGAGGAAGAGGCAAACGGGATCATCGTAGAGGAAGAGGGGGAGAGTTAGGACCTCCTGCAGATTTTCGACGAGTAAGTGTTACATAAAAAAAATCACCATGACAACAATAATTCCGGCTATTTTTACTATAAAACTCTGCTAACTTGGTATTAGACACAAATGGCATATAAATAAATATGAGATATATGAAAATGAAATAAAGTGACAAGCATTCAGAGACTCCCACACTCTTTTAAAGGGTCATGAAACCCCAGACTATTTTTTCTGAGATTTTAGCAGAGGTGTTTGTGCTGCACATCGTAGAAGACAATGTTAGCATCCGATCATTTTAACTGTTGGAGAAAACTGGTTAATTTTAAGCTTTTTTGCGCTATTTACATCTTCCGGGTTTAAAATCTACATTGTGTTGACGTCACTATTTGTGACGTTGCAATGGACGAGAGAGTGAGAGTGAGAGAGAGAGAGTGAGAGAGAGAGAGAGAGAGAGAGAGAGAGAGAGAGAGAGAGAGAGTCCAACTACTCCGTTCACTTCAATGGACCAGAGCTGTAGAGAGAGAGAGTCCAACTACTCCGTTCACTTCAATGGACCAGAGCTGTAGAGAGAGAGAGTCCAACTACTCCGTTCACTTCAATGGACCAGAGCTGTAGAGAGAGAGAGTCCAACTACTCCGTTCACTTCAATGGACCAGAGCTGTAGAGAGAGAGAGTCCAACTACTCCGTTCACTTCAATGGACCAGAGCTGTAGAGCTGTAGAGTCCAACTACTCCGTTCAGTTCAATGGACCAGTTTTTTACGGCAATGGCGGATCGTGGAGCCGCTCAATCGCTCAATAGAGTTAGCGCTCATACTATCAGCGCCGTAGAGATGCAGCAGAAGAGACCGCAGTGATGAACTTTTAAAAGGTAAGACATTTATAGAACAAAATTATTAAACAAAATATTATCAGCACAGCTAATCAAATTACCCTGTGCATTAAAACAGATTATTATTAGATTATTCCTCACTTAATTAGTAGATTCACGGAATGTTATTCATTCTCTTCATGCAGTTTCATCCATCGTTGTGTAATTAAGGCTTTTAAAAGTGATTTTGCTGGTGGGGAGTTATTTAATAGACTTGGATATATTGCAAAGGATGCAGATGG